ATGGAGGCTGGTTCCGAGGCAGAGGGCAGGCTACTGGCCCTCAGGTGAGTCACCATCACTGTCATCCACACTTGTCAGAGCCTCCCTGACAAATCCCTCAAAGTCATCATCACTGTCTCTACCTCTGTCACTATCACTGGCTTGGGCTGGCTATGGTGGGTTGCGGGCGAAGAACTCTGTTATGCTTTGCTGACGGCTGGTGTTTATGTTGTCGTGATAAGCCTTGATGTAGGGCTCCATAGTCTGCAACAGCTGGGTAGTGAAGATTTCATACCTGTTTGCGTCAGGGTCATCGGAAAGGAGAAGCTTGGCTTTCTCGATACACTTGATGGCACCCCTAACATTGCTATGGGATAAGCGGCGTTCTTCTTGGGATGACGCACCACCTGCCTCTTCACTGACGTCATCATCATCTACCATCTCGTCGGTAGTCACATCAGGATCCCTAATCACCTCCAGGATGTCGTCGTTGGTGGTCTCGGAGAAGCCTGCAGCTGTAACACTCTGCGCAGCTTCTCTGGCAAGGTCCACTGCTACTGCAACAGTCTGAACCTCACCAGTCACAGATTGACTCTGCCTGCGGCCGGAATGCCTTGCAACACATGTCTCCATGCGTGACGAACAGTTGCTACAGACAGCTGATCCCATGCCTCCACCAAGAAGTCCACAGTTTTCTTGATGTTGAATATTCTCCATAATTGTTTTAAAAGTACTTCTTGCTCTGCCAACTGTTGATCCTTGTCGTCTTTGCTCTTGCTATCGGTGTTGGTGTCACTCAGGTTACGCAACTCTTCCCTGGTGTTGGTGTAGTCGTTCAGGAGCTTGAATTTTTTAGTAGAGAATGCCTCTTTTACATTACAGATTAACTCTTGGTCCATAGGCTGTAATATAGACGTAGTGTTGGGAGGAAGGAAGAGCACTTTTACGTTGGGGTGACGATCAAACCAGGAGAGGGACAGTGTAGAGAACATCCACGCCTTACGTGCGGTCAGCCAGTGGACATTTAGCTTGGTCATGTCCATGCTCTTGTAGGCTTGAGGCTTGCGTGCTGTGTGGATCACCGATAACTTGAGCTTACAGGTACCGGAGGCATTGGTGGTAAAGAGGACGGTGATGAGCTCCTTCTGCAACTTCCGGCCCCGACACTTGCTGGCATTCTTCACAATGAAGGTCTTGGAAGGTAGCTTTTTCCAAAAAAGACCAGATTCGTCCATGTTAAACACCTGGTCGTCGGTGTACTGTCCTTCCTCCATAATCTCACGTAAAAACGGAGGAAATTCCCTAGCCGCAACACGGTCAGCACTAGCTTCTTCACCACCAATGTTGATATTGGTGATCTTGTTGCTCTTCTTAAACCTCTGTAACCACCCAGAGGAAGCATTAAAGGGTTTGGGCTCCGTAATTCCCATCTTTCGTGACACTGCAGCATACAGTTCACGTGCGTACTCCTTAACTGAGCGCGTGTCCACCGCCATGTTCCGTCGCGCCTGACGCACCAAGTAGCTCACAAGCAATTTTTCCGTCGTGAGAAGCACCTGGTTGTGGAAATACTTGATCATAGAAGCACCTCTAGACTTTGTGATGTTCATGTGCTCCTTTATCTTGGCTGCATCCTTCTTAATTGTCCTGATCATAGACTTGTTAACACCATGCTGGTGTGCGAGATCAACCTGTCTTGTTCCTTTCTCCAACTCTTGTATGATCTTATACTTAATTTCGTAGCTTAAGGAACGTCGTGTCTTCTTTGGCTTAGGGCGGCTGGGTCCAGATAAGGAAAGGTTTCTCTCTGGGGGGGGTGGTCCGGCGGAAGCCATTTTACAGAACAATGGATGCACGTTTACACGGTGTGGCCTGGAGGGATGAAACTGCCGCGGCTAGGTCAAGCGTTGTCTTTCCTCCCTCCCTCCCGCGGGTAGACACGTCATATTACTTTAAACCAATCACAGCTAGCAGCGGAGGGAGGTAAGGATGCATGGCCCAATTACAGTCCGATACGTCATATGACGTCACTGATAACGCAACAAAGATACACACTGCGCAACCTACTCGCGCCGCTTACACAACATGGCGGATGGCGGGAGAGGGCAGGAGAGATGGCGGGAGGTTTGGATCCAAAAATGGTGAGGCTCGCCAGCCGCTCTCCGTGTAAAGGGGTACACGCACCGCGGAATGTGAGCATTCCGGTTTCGGCAGGGTACCGAGTAAACGTGGAAACGTGGAATGTGGGACCGAGTAAAGTGAGGGTTGACTGTACATCATTTTCCTCAGTCATGAATAATTCCTGATACATTTCCATTATCTAATGAACAGCTAGAGTGGTTATCTTGCTAATCATTAATGTAAAAAGAAAAATACTTCTAAACCATCACAAAATTATCAGTATTCAGGACAAAATACAACTCTGTCATAAACTTATCAAGTGACTAATAACATGACAGTGTTGACTACCAGAAACCCTGACCACTGGACAGGGAGAGGGAGAGGTAAAGGGAAAGGGAGAGGGGGAGGGGGAGGGGGAGAGGGGAGGTAGAGGGAGAGGGGAGGGGAGGGAGAAGGAGAGGAGAGGTAGACTGGCACCTGTAGTCAGCACCTGATAGGTCTGAGTTAACATCTGTAAGCTCAAGTCAGTTAAAGCCATTAATAACAACAGTTAGTAGAGACTAATCAAGGTTAACACCAGTGGGCGTTGTGGCACTAAGGATTTTATTCTGACTAAAACTAGATGATTTTATTTAGCAGAACCCCCCAGATGGTTGAAGTGATAACCGTGGTAACATTATGAGATGTTCTTATTACCACCATGCTATTGTACTATTCCAGATATTACTAAATGTTACATAATACTTCCTTGAGATAAATGTATAGTATATATCAGGTGCCTAAAAGAGAGCTCAGGTTCTCAACTGGCTCAGCCATGTTAATATTGTTATTATTATCCACTCTGTATCAGTGTTTTTCTGGCTAAATAAACTGTTTCAATTCAATTCAATTGAGATGAGCTGTTGCAGGCTCTTGTTTACAGTACAGAGCAGTATCAGCTGATCATTCTTGCTGTCCCTAATAATGTTGCCAGCACTCACTAACTCACAAGCACTGGATTTTTCGGTAATTCCAGTGACCCAGAGCCCTATTTTTGTCCAATTAACCTAAATATGCAAAAGATCGTTAAATTAATGCTATACTTCTACCTGAGCTACCCATAGCTTTCCATGTATGCTATAACTGTGGTTACATTTCAACAAATTGCGTAAGCGATAGCCTCGCACGGGTGAGACCCGAGTAAAATAAGCCCCCACTGATGATTAGATGCATAGTTTAGAATCAAGATGAGACATGTAGTTCAGACTCTTGGAAAACTTTCTCCTGCCCGGAAAAATTTTGGGGATGTGGGATTTTTTAGAGTTTGAGAGGCATCTCATTACCATGAAATCTCTCATCCTCAGGATACCTCTTGTCACATCCCTCCACCTGGGTCAACGCCATCTAGGGGTCGGTAACAGGACCACCTTGTCGCCTGGGTCAATGCCAACTGGTGGTCGGCAATTAACAACACTTCCTTGCCATATCACGATGTTGGAGCAAGAGTCGCCAGCCCAATAATATCACTGACACGTCTCCCTAGCCTCTACCACAACACTTTAGCTCTCCCATGAGCCACCAAAGTGACTAGGGACCTGTATCTTATCCTGAAAAGCAGTTCACTCTCATCCTCTGTCCTGGAATAGTGACTCGCCCTAAGGACCTCTACCTTCCCCAGGATCCCACGCATCAGGTGACCGCCTTAATCATCCCACGTACCAGAACATTCATTGCAGAGAGAAGTATGTAGATGGCTTAAATTTTTTCTCTGGCTTCTCTTTGCTCTTGTTACCCATATTCTAGTTTGTATTTAGTTAGGATATTTATATGTTTAGTTAGGGCACTGGTGTAGGGTTAGCGGTTAAGATTTGTCTTTATAATTAGTCATTATTGCTATTAAATATTAAAAACTCCTCCTTTGTATAAATCCACCCTTTTCCCCTGGAATCTTTCTTAAATTACCTTACTTTTGTTACGAGTTGGCCTCTACGGGTGGACCCAACATTAAATTAACTAGCTCACTTGTAACACTCTGCACTAATTGTTCCAAGTAATGGAGATATCACTGTACAAATACAGGTAATGGGGACCCCTTGTACTGAAAATCGTTTACCTGTAAATTCAGTAAGATTGAAACTGTTTAGAATGATGGGAATGTACAAGCACTGGAAACAATCATGGCTTACATGAAATGGAACAAACTTATATATGAAATCAATGTGATTCACATACAGTAATATATCTGTTAGCTGGAATTCCTCAAACCCGGAACTCCCCGATAGCTGGAATTGAAATTTTCTCGAAAGATCGTTCCCAAAGCCAGAATTTTCCGTAAATTCCAACTTTGGGAATGATTTTCCAAGGGGGACATTTTCTGAAAAAATTCCAAGAAAATGTTCCCAACACCCAGAAAATTCCACGGATGGGGATGTTTTTTCCGGGTTTGAGATGAAAATTAGGCGCATTTTCCCGGTATTCCGAGAACAAAATTCCGGAAAATTCCGGGTATGGGGGACATTTTTTTGGGTTCGATAGATGAATAATAACAAATTTGTGGAACTTCCGAGAATATTTTTTCATTACCCGGAAAATTCCAGGGATGAAGGATATTTTCTGGCTTTGAGAGAGTCGTCTCATTACTCGGATATCTCTCATAAACCGGAAGTGCTCTGCACCAATTGTTCCGGCTCATGGAGATATCACTTATGCAATATCACAGATAGAATCTTTCCCAATCTACTCAATATTAGAGATTTTCTGTCATTTCTTCTGTTTTACTTTGTACTCTGGTATTATCTGCTGGATCCTAAATTCTGGATTAATAAAGTTCAGCCTGATGTAGCTTTAATATAAAAGGAAATCCTCTTCATCCGCAACAGATCAATATACATACACTATAGACAGTATAGAGAACAACTTACTAGTGGGTCGAGTATTGGCGATATTGAGACATGCCTTCAACGTATTAATTGCTTCAAGATACTGCCCTCGTTTCTTCATGACCCGTGCACGCACCAAGTGATAAGTTGGTTGTTCTCGCACCTGCACGAAGAATATAGTTGACATTAGGAAAATAACAAATAAATAATTAAATTGGTTTCAATTTTTACTGACTATCAACCCTAAAAAGGAAATAAAATTTTGATTTACATCACCAAAGTTCAGAGGTTGGGAAAGAGTAAACAAAGATTCCCTCCAATCTCAGGTGGGAGACTCATGGGTTGACACATGGAATGGAAGATATCCCAGCTCTGCCAGTAAATTCCTCATCTTTGTCAATCAAATTCCCCTCAGAATCACTAAATTCATTATCTAAATTTTGAGTAAAGCCACCATATTCACTGTCATTGTGTATGGGAGTCATCCTCATCTCCCAAATCAGATGTAATGGCATCAACTTCTTCTTGCATGGGGTGACACTCACAGTCATGGTCCATACTATACTAATTGGCAAGAAGGATCCACAAAGATGCTCATCAAAAACAAAACAAGATACAATCAAAGACAAAAGTCGTGTCACGGTTTTGTCCGAAGATTAAATATAACTGGTGAAACATTATGAGAGCCCCCCTACCACAAGGCAGAGCACACCAAAAGTTTAGTCCTTCGGCAAATGTTTTCACCCAATTTCACGACACGACTTTTGTCTTTCATTGTACTTATATTTAAATTGAGCCCACAAAAATATAACACAACTATGAGCTGCAATCACTGTCCTCAATTCGCATTGATTTTATCAGTGTCTGCTCTTTCCACATTAATCATATTATATTCTGAGGGAAATGTACACAATGTTGTGGACCCATAAAACTGCTCCATACAGAGGAGATGTAAACACAAAATATTAGAAACTGCACAACCCCCAGTCTTTTTAAAGACTATTACACAAATATCCTATACAAATTGTTAAGATTAATTGTTACAGATAAGACACAGCAGTATTTGGACAGGAAGAAAATACAGTGCCCAGAGAATACCTGTGATATTTGGTAAGGTCACATTAGATACTACCCCTCTTATATCTGACCTAAGCCAGAGATTGAACCCATGACACAATGGCGAGAGGTATAATAAATACAATAGCTGACCTTGAACAATAAATGACTGACCTCAAAATTATAAGAAAGGCCCACTTCTAGACTTTGTTGAGCCTGTTTGTAGTTGCCTTGATATAACTGAATCTGTGCCATTAACAAGTGAGCGTCTGAGCTAGTAGAATCTGCAAAGAATGTAAAATACAGATTTGAATTAGAAACATTCTAAGGTATTTTATTATTCTTTCATTACATTAATATCTCATTTCATAAAAGTATATTTCTTGAAAAAAATAAATAAAAAACAACAACTATGAATTTGTAAAATATGAACGAATGGAACAAGGCAATGTTAAAAATGATGAAGTACATTACAAGACAATATACATTACCATACTAACAGTAAGTACTATTTAATTATTCTCATGCACAAGTCCCATAAAAAACTAATCCATCCATGTTAACTGAAGCACAGAGGATCGCATCTTCCAATTGACTGGAATTCCTTATAACAAATCACTCTGACAGTCAGATATATACTGTATGTATTCATCTTTAATCAATCCTTCATTCATCCATAATTTAACCCAATTATGAAATTATTTTCTTCCAGCCCTCCAAGAAAATTCAGTAACGTACCCTGAACAATTCATTCCATGACTTTTATTATTTATTGATCTATATATCACCTTCCTTCCTATATGCAACTGAACTGCCATTAATCAAGCAGAAAAGTCATTAATAGCTGCTTTTGTGTCTATTATGCCAAAATACATTTATAAAGACATTTATATCCACATACAGTAGAAGTCCAAAAATCCGGACTGCTTGGGGATTGGGTCGGTCCGGATTTTCAGATTTTCCGGATTCTCAGGCAGTACTTTTAAAACTAAAATTTAAGGAGGAATAAAGAAGAGATGAACATGTACATTTTGATAGTTTATTCATTAGCAAATAAAGCATGCTTCATTTATCAAAACGAGCAGTTTTAAAGAAAAATAAAGTCAGCACTAGACAAAAATGTAAACAAACTGTCTAATACCATGACGAGTCTTGAAATTCCTAAGCCATCCATCACTAAATGCGCACTCTGATTCAATGTTCATTTGCTCCTTAAAAGACTTTGCTTTGGCAATAAGCATCGGCCCAGAAATTGCCATACCTTCTGATCGTTTTAACAAAAACCATTCGTGCAACACTTTATCAAGATTTTCTAATTTGGGCCAATGTAAACTTTTTCTTTCAGCAATTTTAATGTAAGGCTCAGAAGAAGCTGTGAATTCTAGAATTTTATTCTTTTCCTTTTTTATATCATAAATTGTAGACTTTCCAATGTTGTATGTTTCCATTAGAACAGCATTGCTCACATTACATTCTAGTTTCTTAATTATTTCAAGTTTGTCACTCAATTTCAATGTGTTCTTCTTTCTCTTCACACAATGAAGTTTATCTACTTTAGTGGCCATTATTATGGGCTTGTACTCTGTACATGGAAATAGTAGGACTCAAAATTACATACGTTGTCACAGTTTGATTGCTTGTTTTAAAGTGGCGATCGTGTGGTCGTTTGTTGTCGCTGTGCAGCTGTGGCATTCACTCATGCACACATACACACAAAAGATTTATAGTGCCTCAAATTTTACATTTCAGTTCAAGCTAATTACAAAACTAACAAAATTAGCTACCTATAATTTACAATTACTTTTATTATTAGAATTATGTAAATTAATTTTTTAAAGCAGCTCCATTCATTCACATAACCCACAAAAGCCCACTAAATTTAAAAAGTTTGAGTTTTCGAAAAGTCCGGATTCTCGGGTGGTCCGGATTCCTGGCATCCGGATTTTTGGACTTTTACTGTATATTTCTCATATCTTTAATAACAAAGGAAAATAAGGACAAATGTGCAATGACTTAAATTTCAGAGATTTCATTTAACTTATTAAGGTATGAATCAATTATGGTGCTAATAGTTCACTGACAAAATTACATAATAATAAGAAGACAATAAGAGGTTATAAGATAGACAAATAATGGTATTTCTATGGAATAGAGGGGAAAAAACAAAAACAAAATGAAATTTTTTCTAAGAATCAGTTTTTGTGATATACAGTACAGTATTACCCCGCTTTACGCAGTTTCACTTAACGCGATTTCTCATATACGCGGTGCCTCGCCAGAACCGAACTTTCACTTAACGCGGTTCATCTACTCATATACGCGGTGAAGTATAATATTTTTTTTTTTTTATTTAGCTCATAAAATTCATACAAATTACCCGCCCAGAATATAATTTACATTGCTGGAATTCTTACAATATGATGATCATTTTGAATATAAACATCATAGATTTTGCATTAGACATACAAATTTTAGATATAATGTTTACTCTGAGTAAATATGTTATCTTTTGGGCAAAATATATGACATTTATATTCAAAATATTCCTGGTCTTACAAGGAATCCAGCAATGTCAATTATATTATCCTAACTTTAGTTTGAGGTATTATTTATTACTAAAAAGGTAAATATTCTGGTTTTCCCACACATTTGGTAGGGAGGGTTGGTGGGGGATGGGGGGGAGGGAGGGACCGACCGACCATCTGGCATGGTGTGAAGAATTTTTTTTTTTATTAACTGAAGATATTTGTTTTAGCTCATAAAATTCATACAAATTACCCGGCCAGAATATAATTTACATTGCTGGAATTCTTACAATTTGATGATCATCTTGAATATAAACATCATAGATTTTGCATTAGACATACAAATTTTAGATATAATGTTTACTCTGAGTAAATATGTTATCTTTTGTGCAAAATATATGACATTTATATTCAAAATATTCCAGGTCTTACAAGGAATCCAGCAATGTCAATTATATAATCCTAACTTTAATCTGAGGTATTATTTAATACTAAATGTTAAAATCTAGTTTTTCACCCAACATTTCTCTTGTAGGGAGGGTTGGTGGGTGGGGTTGGGACGGACCGACCATCTGGCGTGGTTGGAGGAGAGGGGGAGGCAAGGTGGGGTACTTTGATTGACAGATAGTGTCGTGAAGAATATTTTTTTTTTATTAACTGAAGATATTTGTTTTAGCTCATAAAATTCATACAAATTACCCCGCCAGAATATAATTTACATTGCTGGAATTCTTACAATTTGATGATCATCTTGAATATAAACATCATAGATTTTGCATTAGACATACAAATTTTAGATATAATGTTTACTCTGAGTAAATATGTTATCTTTTGTGCAAAATATATGACATTATATTCAAAATGTTCCTGGTCTTACAAGGAATCCAGCAATGTCAATTATATTATCCTAACTTTAGTCTGAGGTATTATTTGTTACTAAAAGTTAAAATTAGTTTTTTCACCCAACATTTCTCTGGTAGGGAGGGAAGGTGGGGGGTGGGGGGGGAGGGTTGGGACTGACCGACCATTTGGCGCGGTTGGAAGAGGGGGGGGAGGCAAGTTGGGGTACTTTGATTGACAGATAATGTCGTGAAGAATATATATTTTTTTTTTATTAACTGAAGATATTTGTTTTAGCTCATAAAATTCATACAAATTACCCGGCCAGAATATAATTTTCATTGCTGGAATTCTTACAATTTGATGATCATTTTGAATATAAACAACATATATTTTGCATTAGACATACAAATTTTAGATATAATGTTTACTCTGAGTAAATATGATATCTTTTGTGCAAAATATATGACATTTGTATTCAAAATATTCCTGGTCTTACAAGGAATCCAGCAATGTCAATTATATTATCCTAACTTTAGTTTGAGGTATTATTTATTACTATACCTGGTTTTTCCCCCAAAATTTCTCAGAGAGGGAAGAGCCAGGAGTGTAGTGTGAGAAGAGGGGGAGGGAGTTGAGTCCATTATTTGAATGGACATTAACTTGTCGACTGTATTTCTCTATTTCTCTTAAGTATTAATTGTGTGCATGTACCATCATAAAATTAAGATGTTATTTTTACTAGAACATAGGTATTGTGTTGGAAAAAGTGGAGTTTGGGGGTCAGCTGGTCTCTATTTCATTTAATCCCATATGTTATGTTATTCATTTTACGCGTTTCTCACTTTCCGTGGTACCCTGTGGGTTACATTAACCGCGTAAAGTGAGGGGTGTATATATATATATATATATATATATATATATATATATATATATATATATATATATATATATATATATATATATATATATATATATATATATATATATATATATATATATATATATATATATATATATATATATATATATACCCCGCTTGCGCTTTCGCCACTTGGCGTTTTTACGCGCGGTGCCTTGCCAAAGCTGAACTTTCACTTGGAGTTTTTCCTGGCTACGCGGTAGAGTGTCAGCTCGGATGCTATTTTTGGGTGACCACGCGCCGCGCCACCCACCCCGCCCGCCTGCCTGCCTGCCTCTCCCTCCTCCCCTCCCCTCCGCTTAGAGTACTTGTGTAGTAAATTCTGCCAGTGTGTCTTTGTTGCGTTATCACTGGCGTCATATAGCGTCTCGGACTGTGATTATTATGCAGCCCTACCCCCTCTACTGCTAGCTGTAGTGGCTTAAGTATTATGGCGTGACTACCCGGGGAGGAGGGAGGGAGGAGGCGGCGCTTGACCTGCTTGGCAGTTTCATCCTCAAGGCCGCGCTGGGTGTAGCATCCATTGTTCCGTAAAATGGCTTCGCGGTTCACCACCCCAGAGAAAACCTTTCATACCTGGACAGCGGCACTAAACCAAAAGAACCTTTGACGTTCATTAAACTCTGAGCTGAAGTACCAGTGGTGTAAGATTTGGAGAAAAGAAGAAGCGCCAAAGTTGATCTCGGCGGCGCCAGCATGGCGTCAGCGAATCTCGATTAGTACAATAAAGAAAGGATGCAGCCAAGATAAAGGAGCACATGAAGTCACAAAGTCTGCAGGTGCTTCCTCTATCCAGGTATTGCCAGAACAGGGTGCTGGCAAAGTGAAGCTGCTGGTGAGTTATTTGGTGCGTCAGGCCTTGACGCCAACATGGTGACCGGACAGCTCAGTGCAGAATGCATGGCAGGCTACTCTTGCCCAGCAGTGACACGTAAACTAGAAGTGCAGAGCCGACCCTTCAATGCTTCCATGGTTGGCTGCTAAGTTTAGAAGGAGG